GCGTGGACGCACACGCCCTCGTGCCCCCCCCCCCTTTCCTCACTGGACGACGTGTGATGAGTAAGAGGCGCCGCACCCTCTTCACGAAAGAGCAGAATTAACCGTCTGAGTGGTTGACTGCCCCGATGACAGGCGCGAACTGATTGGATGTTGTTGCCCTCTCTTTCTCTTTCTCTTTCTCTCTCTCTCTCTCTCTTTTTTCACTTGTGTTTGTCTGTTCCCTTCTCTCCGGGTGCTGCTGCCGCTTGTGTCTGGTGTGCGAAGGAGGCACGTACGCCGCTCGGTGGTTCCAATCACCCAGCGGAGCGATTTGCCCCCGAGAGGAATCCCCTGCATTTTGTGTTCACTGATGAAGCTGATATGGTCCGTGTTTCAGACCACTGGGTTGACGCACAACAACATATCCTCTGACCTAGCCCTTCCTTAGTCCTTTTTCTTTTTTTTGCTTGCGACAGAGCAAGCTTCTTTTGGCCCACAGGCGTTGTCGGTTGGGTCAGAGGCACGTGCTCTCCCTGTAACCCTATCTCGCAACTCCGAGAGCACGGCAGTGAAGGCGGCCCGGAGCGTGGACGCACACGCCCTGTGCCCCCCCCCCCTTTCTCACTGGACGACGTGTGATGAGTAAGAGGCGCCGCACCCTCTTCACGAAAGAGCAGAATTAACCGTCTGAGTAGTTGACTGCCCCGATGACAGGCGCGACCTGATTGGATGTTGTTGTCCTCTCTTTCTCTCTCTTTCTCTCTCTCTTTTCACTTGTGTTTTTCTGTTCCCTTCTCTCAGGGTGCTGCTGCCGCTTGTGTCTGGTGTGCGAAGGAGGCACGTACGCCGCTCGGTGGTTCCAATCACCCAGCGGAGCGATTTGCCCCCGAGAGGAATCCCCTGCATTTTGTGTTCACTGATGAAGCTGATATGGTCCGTGTTTCAGACCACTGGGTTGACGCACAACAACATATCCTCTGACCTAGCCCTTCCTTAGTCCTTTTTTTTGCTTGCGACAGAGCAAGCTTCTTT